CTTTGTCCCATTCCTGTTTATAAGTTTTGGAAGGGAGAGGTCTATGTTGTCCCAGTGAGTATTGGAAGTGTTTAACCTTCTTTTCATTTGTGCAGGGGCTTTTAACTGTAAGTTTGCCTTAAATTGCAGAGAAGATCACTCGTAGTGATCCTCCTTGGGGTGCAATGTTATGGCTTCTGTTTAGATGTGTTCCCCCAAAGCCTCATGTGGTCATAAGTCAGGCTCTATTAGAGGTGGCTAAATCTAGTATGTATCTGATTCATGGTGAATCAATGTGCCAATTGATAGTGGGTCATTAGTAAACCAATCTACTATTTGCTTTAATACTGCGCCATTTCAGGTAGTCTAGATAGAATATAAAGGGCTAGAAATAAGCTGCTAAGATCCCTTGCCTGTTTTCCTACCTTCTGCACACAATGAACTGTTTTCTTAACTGCAATGCTTCTCTCCCATGTTACCTTGCCTTGGAGCCAGCCAACTCTGGACTGAAACCTTCACAAACTGAGCCAAATAAAACTTTACTCCCTAACTCTGGGCATCAGGTATTTTGTCTCAGTAACAAGGAAAGTAACTAAGACATCTAATATACATACCCTCAATTAAGTTTTAAGGGCATAAATGGATTCTAAAAGCAAAGTTTCAGAACTACCAGCATTGATGTAATAAACCCTAAATAAAAATTTAACTGAGGGCCAGGGAGATGGCTCAGTAGGATAAGTGCTTGACTGGCAAATGCAAGGATCTGAGTTCAATCCCCGGTTTCGTGACATTGTAAATATTACTTTGCAAAGCTAGAGTAGACAGAGATTCCTAATAAAATGGATAATAAAAGCTAAAAATGTACTCTATGCCACTGGCTAGAAAGAAATGCTTTAGAAGTTTATATTTATTTATCTTACATAAATCTCATTTATTCTTACTTGTAATGTCTGTCTTCTTTACTAAAACCAGGACCTCCTTAAAGCTAGAAATACTATCTTTTTATAATGCTGTCTTCTCTGTATCTTTATGAGAAATCATCATATGCTATATCATACATCAAATATTCAATTATTTGACTCAATGAATAAATGAGTTAATCTAATTCATAAAATTAATCACAATGCAGTACACAGCTATTTCTTCCATTTTTAAAACCTACAAGGCAATGTTGTATTGGAAAGTCACATTTGCAAATGATAACTCATCCAGTGTATTCTTAAGACAGTGACTGCCTATGCAGATTTATTTGCATGTGAACACACAGAAGACACAGGTACACAAGTATATTAATTTCTATATATCAGCCTTTTCTTATCTATCATAACTTACAACAAAAACAGGTGAATGTCAATAAAATCATGCTGCTTTCCCTCTCCCCTATCTTTTCTCCTTCACTGTTTCATAGCATCACTTCTCTATTTTACACAGCCAGTGAAAGCTTTCCACCAGTTTCCAGCATCCTGGGAAAAACTAAAGCAAATAATCTTACCAATAGTATGATTTCCATAAAGAAGCTGCTCCAGAATTGCAGTTTTCCCCACAGATAATAATCCACAAACCACAACCTTGCATCCCTTTCCCATCTTCTCAGGGTATCACTGTGAAGAGAAGAGAAGGTCTTTACTGTTGAAATGTATCTCCTTTTCTTTTGAATTTTAAATCTAAGTAGTAGTATATACAAAGGATAAATTTTGAAAATGAAAAAGGACATACAGAATTTTTCCAAATCCTATTCCCCAGTTTCCCATTTGTTTCCTTAGGGCAATCATTGATACGAATTTCTTATTTTCAGAAATAATCTAGATTTAATATAAGATTACAACAAACATGCACAAGATTGCTTTTCTTTAGGAAAAAAAAATCCTTGTACATGAAGAATTCTTTCAGTATTGATAAATCTATAGGAATCCAATAAAATCTTTAATCCTGAAAAGAGGCTACCTACTTATCAGTATTTAACTGGGCAAATAAACAGTTAAGTAAAACTTTAAAGAGATGGGGAAAATAAAAATGTAGGACAGATAATGGACCTGGATTGTTAAAAAATACTGGAAATATTAATACTATTGTCAATCTGTTCTTGGGAGTGTGAAAATTTGGATTTTAATAATCACACAGGCTCTTTTAGTCATATTTGTTTTTAAAGAAGCTTAGACAATGCTAGAAAAATTGCCTAAGCACTTTAAACTAGAAAGAGGCATATGATCTGAAGAGATACCAGAGTATTAAACTAGAAAAAGGAAAATTCATTTTTATGAGCTTTCCAATTTATATCCAAAAAATAGCAAGTTCAGGTAACATGTATTTTTTTTTTTTTTTTTCAAATTTCCTCAAGGCTTTTGTGTTTTCTAGAAAACAAGGTACCAGAAGCTAAGGCAGAAAGAAAA